CTCCCGCCTGGGGGGCCCCCTGCCCTCACCATTGCCTAATGGACCCCCATCCCCCCGCTCCGGCCTCGACCCCTTGGCCATACTGAGTGAGATCAGTAAGTCGGTCAAACCGCGGCTAGCATCCTTCCGCAGCCTTCGAGGCGGCCGTGGGGTAAGTGAGGCCTTCGGGGGAGGAGGAGGGGGCGGCCCCGGCCGCTGGACCCTGGGCTCGCTTCCTGCCGCCGGCCGGGCCCCCCCTTCCAATATATTGCGCGGCCCGGACCTGCTTTGCTCTGTGCATGGCCTTGCCCCCCGAGAACCTTGGGCGGGGAGGAAGGTGGACTTGGTACGTCTTAGGAGTGTCTTAGAGCCTGGAAGCTCAGACTCCACGATGTCAGACTCAGTCATGCTCTCACCTTGCAGACGGTGGTGACGGAGGATTTCAGCCACCTGCCCCCGGAGCAGCAGAGGAAGCGGCTTCAACAGCAGCTGGAGGACCGTAATCGCGAACTACAGAAGGAGGTTGACCAGAGGTAAGGTGAGAGGGAGGCAGGCAAAGAAGAAAATAAAAGAATAAGGGACAGATTCTCCTCGACTTACGACGGGGTTACGTCCTGATAAATCCATCAAGTCAAAATGCTTTTACTGCTACACTGTAGAGTATCAGTTGTTTGCCTTCGTGATGATGGTCCAGTGGAAGCTGCGGCCCTCGGCTGCCGCCAGCGTCACTAGAGAGCATCACAGTGCACATCGCTAGCCCTAAAAAAAGATGGAAAATTCAAAGTGTGGTTTCTCCTGAATGTGCATCACTTTCGCACGGTCGCAAAGTTAAAAAAATTCTAAGTCAAACCATTGTAAGTTAGAGACTGTCTCTAGACACTGAAACGGTTCTCAAACATCTGCCAAAGAACCCCGGACCCTGATGGAATCACCTGATTCCTACCCCACTTCCAGAAATACTTTCCATCTTGTCTGCGTCATTCCCGCAAACAGAAAAAGAGCTCATTTCGGAGGCCGGTAGAATTTCGATTCCAAAATCAGTTAGCAAGAATTGAAGAAAATAAAATTATGGGCTCATTTCACTTCAATTGTGACCTTAGATGCAAAATCCTGCCCAAGCAAATCCAGTGGTGTATTTTAAAACTAATGCATCGTATGGTGGCGATGGTTGCACAGCAGCATGAATGTACTTTATGCCCTGGAACTGTACATTGAAAAATGGTTCAAATGGGAAATTTTGTTATGTATATTTTAGCATAATAAAAAAAAGTTTAGACTTAAAAAAAATCATGAGCAGTTTGGTACTATCCCATGATGCAAAGATGGTTCAATATCGAAAAACGTCTCATTCGCCACAGTAATTAGCTAAAAGCGAAAAGAAAACAACATACGGTTATCTATTCACTAACTCAAGTACTTAAAATATTAACAATAAAAAATCTGCCAGA